AGTCACTAGATCAGTCCTCTCTTACTGTCTGAACCGCTTGGTATTGCGATATTATCGGATAATATCAATAATTACATCAATTTGAGAGTCACTAGATCAGTCCTCTCTTACTGTCTGAACCGCTTGATATTGCGATATTATCGGATAAGTAATGTATACAGAACGAGAGAGCGTGTTGTATCGGGTGATAAAGATCCGAGCCGAAACTTTATAATAATTCTCATTTTAATGTTTTTGAAAAATTGAATACATATCAAACTTATTCCATACATTTGTGAACATTTGCTTATAGTAGTGTCCAGGCCCACGCGAACACATATTTCTCTTCTGCGCATGCGTATAGTCTAATTACGTATTCCAAAATTAGAGCACTCGAAAATGGCGGATCGTATTAAACGGGAGTCAAAAGTTCCAGCTCGTTATATCGAGGAATTTTCTTCGAAATGTCCTTTAAAGAAGAGACAAACTTCGAAAAAGGATAATAATCTTTATGATATAGAAGTAACTGAAGTCGACAAGGCTAAAAAGCGTATCAAAATCCACTATATTGGGTACAGTACAGAGTACGACGAGTGGAGATCTTTCGGGGATGGAGCAAAATTTCCCTTTGTTCGCCTTGAAAAACTGAATTTACCTTCGTCAGACTCACTTCAAGATAGGAAAGAAATATTCCACGGTCAATTATATCGAGAAATCAAGAAAAAACTATATTCTGGTCGAAGGGATGATCCAATGACACGCATTGAACTGAGAGTCGAACCGGATGTCTTCGAAGAAGGGCTTGCTACTGTCGTGAAAGGTACTATGGAAAGAAATAGGACTGTATACAGATTGCCGTGTAACCGGCTTATTGACAATTTTCGTGGGAAGTCTTGGGATGAGCGAATATTTAATTGTAATGGAGATTTTGCATATGTGATAAAAGGAACAGCACGATATTGGCTTTCGAAATCTAATCCTATAGTAGAGTACAAACTTATTGGAGATCAGTATGTCAAGTCTGAGATAGAAGAGAGACATTTCATTGTATTCATTTTCGTTTGTGGTGATGGAAACAGTGGCAATTATAGAACCATTAATTCCTAAACGATTTTGGTAAGAGACTTCACAGCACGCGTTGTATTGCCTGAAACGTTTTTAATAGCTGAAATTTGTAATCAATATTTTATAGAATTTATACAAACAATAATTATTATAATACAATGTTATCTCTGATCAGACATGAGTATTTCAATATATAATTAATCAATTAGCTTTTCAATTTAATAATCTTAAATGACGATAATTTGATATTGACAACTAGAATTTGTATTTGTCATCCTATATAATACCTAGTGACTAGTATATTAAGCCTTCCAAATAAAACTAACTTTGTTGTACAATTGTGCATTGCTTTTTCCAAACATTCCTAACTTTTGTAAGATGTGTACAGCAAATTACACCACAGTCAGAACATTTTTCAGTGCATGTCTTAATATTATGAGAGGTTTTGGAACAGTTTGAGCACTGATAATTGAATTTAGCTCTGGAATAGCCTTCGGCTTCAAGGAAGTGAATCCTACTTTTTTTAAAAAACAACTGCCTTAGAGCACTAATACCTCTATGATTTGTAGACCTGAAGTAGTCTTTAGAGGCTGTATCATTAAATTTCTCCATGCCTTGCTGAGTGAAGTATGCTAGATTATTATACAAAGATAAAAATTGTGGCACATGAGCATACAAAGCATGCATGTACGGAGTTACATCCTTTGTTTGATATATAGAGAGAAATACTGAAAAAAAATGTTTTATTTTGTTTTTAAGAATATCTATGCTTTCCTCAGTTGAATATGTAAGTTTTAAATCACCAATTATATCTATAAATTCCCCCCAGAGACCTTCAATAACCTTGCATTTATCATAATGAGGAAGAAGTGTTGAAAAGTTGATACGTTGAAATACAATTAGTTTTTCAGGGCCTGTTAGATCTCTATATTCTAATTTTTTTGTGTCCTTATTTACATTCCATTTAAAAGATATACCAATATCATTCAAAAAACTTTCATACCCTGCCATGTGCTTATATTTTGTCCTTTCAAACTTGCAACTTGTGAATCGTTGGTTGTCTTCAACAGAGTCTTGTCTTCTGAGTTCTCTAATCAACAGTTCTATTAAATTATCTGATATTCTTAAGAATAAATGTAATGTGTCTATAATTACATGATCAATTGGGATAAAGGGAAAAAGAGGATGAGCTATACAGTTACATTTTTTAGATTTGGAATATGAAGATATTTCTTTAAGAGTTCTTGCCCCCATTTTAGTGTTGCTGATAGACCATTCCTTTGTAGTATTATACCTCTGCATTCTGGGACATTTACACCAAATACATGCATGTTCTTGGTTTGCTTTTCCCAACCCACATACTAAGGCTAAAAATTTCCAATCCCCACCCAGAAAATATTCTATTTTATAATTAATTTTATTTACAGTAATCTCTTTTAATTGAGACATTTCATTTGTTAAATCAGCTAGAGAAGCTCTTAAATTCTCATAATCTTCATGCATTTTAATCACGGCTAAAATATAGTTACCCTTTTCACCCATTGCTACATCCTTTTCATTCAGTATGGTGTATGTTATGTTTTCTAGTTTGAGTTTTCTACCAATGTTTGTTCCGTCACCATTTAGTTTTACTTTGATTGTTTGACCATCCAGCAGTTGTCCTTTTTTCTGTTATCTTTTTATCTGTTCCTCTAAGCTCTTTGAAAATTGTATTTGTATTCCTTCAGCATTACCAGGAGTAGGTCTTACATCCCACTTAGTGTTAAGGGCTTGAATGTGTTTTATGATTTTATATTTTCCAGGTATGTCATTAGATTTAATTGCTAGTTCATTCCAGGCTTCATTAGAAATGTTAAACTTATCTTTTATGTAAATCCAATGCATTTAAATCATCAATTTGGTCATTAGTTAATTCTCTTGTTGGAGTGCTGGTAAAATTAAGCTGATCTTGATCATTGACTAGTTCAAAAGTCTCAAACATTTGTGTATCTGGATTGTAAACTTCAACTTTCGTAGCAATGAAATTGTACAGACCAAGAAAAGACAATGTGCTTTTGCAATCTTCCTTCAAACTCGACTTTATCCTTGCGCGATGTTGTCTGGTGTACTCTTTAAAGTTTTTGCCTTTAGCTGGCCCCCTAGTCCCTTTCTGCTCTTTCTTTTGATGCTTTGCCGCTTTAAGAACCAGTGCCCGAAATTTATTTTTATAAAAGTCCCTTTGTTTTTCTGTCCTCTTCAAGGCTTCGGTAAGCTTTTCTTCGAGATGTAATTTTTTAACTTTTTCTTCTTTCGCGCGTGGGTTTCAGTTTCTAATGTAGTTCTGTGCCTAGCACTTCGGTCTTCAAAGCTCTCATTTAGCTTAGGGTTAGGGTTAGTGAAAGTTAATTTTTTAACTTTTTCTTCTTTCGCGCGTGGGTTTCAGTTTCTAATGTAGTTCTGTGCCTAGCACTTCGGTCTTCAAAGCTCTCATTTAGCTTAGGGTTAGGGTTAGTGAAAGTTAATTTTTTAACTTTTTCTTGAACCACAGATTCTTCAAGTTTTCTTTTTGTTTTCTTTAATTTAATATTTTGCTCTCTAAGCATTCCAACATCTACCTCATTATAGTATACTTTGAACCTATAATTTTTACTTCTCCACGTATCTAATATTTTTTTTGCCAACCTGCCGCCTCCTTTCACCTGACCTGCTCTAAATTTGGCTCGTAAAGTCATAATTTGTGTTTTCAAGGCATTGACGATGCGGTTATTAATTATGATTCCTTTAAGCCCAGATTCGCACAGAATCTTTGCTGTTATAATTTCCATCGCCGACTTGAAACTTTCCCCATGAGTATCACTCTGCATTTTTTTTGATAATGTGTAGATCATAAAGCTGAAATCATAAGTGAATACATGAATAAACGCAGTTTTATACTTTCCCGCGCATTTTCAAATTTATTGGATTGGATTATATATATTCAGACTTTGATGGAAACTTACTTATTAATTTCGTGAAAAAAGTGTGGAAATTCTGCTCCTTCCTTTCCACCTTGCGATGAGTTCCCTTCGATTGCTTCTACTGGAGCTATTGCGAAGAGAATCAGTACGAGAGCGAGAAGAAGTATATAAGTGTACATCTTTGACCCCATTTTGACAGCCTCAAACCATCGCAAATTCCGGTCTGTTTTACATCAAATTTCTCGTTATCTACTGCTCTCTTTAAATCCGTAGCTACCTTTTTGATTGGTCCTTTATATAATTAATTATGGCAACTTTTGTAAGGTAGTATGTGATGAAAGGGGTGTCACGCCATACATTTCGAAGTCACACTGATAGTTTTCACTTGCGATTTGACAAGGGTTAAATTTGGTCTACCTGACTTAAACTACTTCTAACATTGTGAAGAAACATTGTAATTTCATTTAGCGTTGCTACCTTTTTGATATATTATATGAAAACTGAGATTTTCGACGAAATGTTCGAAAAANCTTAAATTGTTTACATAACGAAAGAAAAGAAAAATGTGTATTTTAGTTCAACATAAGAATATCTTTTCAAGATGCAGAAAACAACACCCTCAAGTTCATGGTTCTTGCAAAGCTATACCTAATTGTGCAATATTATTTGCATGCATTTGATGTTTACAAGTTAATAAAGCCAAATTTAAACTACAAATCAGATAGAAAATTATATTTTTTAATCAAGTTTAGTTGATATTCTTCTAATTGTTCTCAATTGCATGGAGTGAAGTAGAATGTTCTGGGAAACACAAGGACCACAGATATCTCGAACAAAGACCACCGCTTCTTCCTCCATAATTCTAAATGCGAAAGTCCCGCTACAGAAAGTCACGCATCACTTCTAAACACGTGTGCCTGGTTACCAAGCGGTCGAGTGAATGACGGTCGAGTGAAAGTTTAGCGTTCAAAACAAATTCCGGAGAGTTCGTACTCATTTGAAATCGGGTGTAATAACTCCAAGAGGAAATTTATCTTGGCTAAAAATATCTTGTCTAAGAGTGAAAATGCCCATAATTGATTAAACTCACCAATTAACGATTACTTTGTCATTCTGAATGATGTGTAAACTTCAAGAGTACTATGAAAATTTTTCTTTTCTTCTACAGCAATATGCTCGTATGCGCTTGGGATGGAAAGCAAAATGATTTCAAACGCCCAAATTGCAGCTTCGTCTACATTTCATTCTTCTTACCCATCAAATGCAAGGCTGAATTATAATGGTGCATGGATGACGTCCAAGGATGAGAGAAAAAATGAATGGCTTCAGATCAATTTCAATCAAATAAAAAATATCAACGGCATTGCAACACAAGGACGAAAATACGAACAAGGACGAAAACACGAACAAGCTTGGGTAAAAGAATACCGTCTTAACTACACAAATGCCACTTATGAGGCCCCTCTTGTTTATACTAAGGATGGTAAGCCATTTGAATTCAAAGGAAATTCTGACCACAACAGTATCGTCTACAATGCCATCCTCCCCCCAATAATCGCGCAAATAGTTCTTATTGTACCAACAGAATGGGAAACATTCATAGCTCTGAGGATTGAGCTGTATGGATGCCCATATAAGGGGGCCTACGATGATCGAAATAGCATGTGATCAAAACTATATGGCATCCCGATCTACTCAAGATGCTAGAAATCTTACATACACTAAATCTTATATAAATGAGAAGGGGCAGCACAAAAGGAGGCTAAAGAATTAAGACCCTTTTGATGCAGCGAGTGAATTAATKGCGTCTTTTGGAAGACTGCATTTTCCAGCTAGACACAAGACCCCTTTTGTGATGTACCCTCTCCTCTTGGCCTGAACTTAGCCAATGCACAGCACGCAAGACGCAAATCAACCGATGCTGCGCAGACGCACAACAACGCCCATTTACCGTCATGCAGCTGTACAATAGAGCCCAACACAAGGCCCGAAGTTTCCTTTTTTCTTGCTAATAAAAGCCGAAATTACTGATCAAAAAASCTGAGGTTGATTGATGACCTTGCTTGCAGTCAGGACAATGATGAGAAGGGACAGCACAAAAGGAGGCTAAAGAATTAAGACCCTTTTGATGCAGCGAGTGAATTAATTGCGTCTTTTGGAAGAAGGCATTTTCCAGCTAGACACAAGACCCCTTTTGTGATGTTCCCTCTCAAATACTAGAGTACAAACACTAAAACTGTGCAACATAAATACCACTAAATACTAATAAATTATGCTAATTCTATTGTTTTCTATTGTTTGAATAACACTATTTTGTAGTAAATAGTGGAAAGTGTTGCACACATTTAATGTTTGTACTCTACGGATAAAATGTTTAATATAGTGACAGTTTCCATACAGTTGGATGATGCTTGTGTCATTAGTCCTTAGAAAACTTTCAAAACTTGTTTTCGCCTAAATATTTTCTTTAACTTTATCTATTTTGATTTTAAGAGCTCTTTATAACAGACGTGAATGTAAAATGCATGTTCTAAAAGCTACTGCAGCATGAATTATGTAAGTTATGTGTTTACCGTAAAGGACTATATAAA